GGGTGGCGAGAGCTGAGGGCTCCCAGCTGGGCCTCTTCCCTGTCCCACCCCTGCCACCAGCCCCCACACGAAGCGCCCTAGTCTGGCCCATGCTCTGACCGGCGCACGGGGTCACTTTGGGGCCCTGCTTGCCCCGGGCCACGGCTGGAGGGACCCCACCTGCCTTCCGGGCAGACTTGTGAGTGTCCAGGCCCGTGGGGCATGAGGTGGCCTGGGTGAAGGACTGGCTTCGGAGTTGGGCGCGGCCTCCCCATCCGGCTCTGGGCGGCTCATTCCCCTGATGGGGCCGTCCCCTCGTCTATAAGAGGATCCCGGAGACCCCGCCACGAGCACTGCTGCAGGGAGGGGCTCAGTGGGGCCCCCCTCAGTCCTCCCTCGGATGGGACGGTGGTGGTTGGTGCCAGGGCCTGGGCAGGCTGAGCCTCCCTCCTGTGCCCCCACCTAGGCACGTGGCAGGCACCGTGGCCTCGGGGTCAACCCAGGCCAGACAGGTCCCGCAGGCTCCTTCGCCCACGAGGTCCTGTGAGCAGGGACGTGTCTGCCCCGGGGGCGTCCAGAGCCTGACTCTAACCCTAACCCTAACCCCCATCCCCCCGCCTCTCCCCAGGGGCCCCTCAAGTATCCTGAAAAGGCCAGGCCAGCCCATGCAGGGCCCCCCTACAGACAGGAAAGCCCAGGACGGGGGGCAGGCGGCACGGCTTCCTGTGGCCCCGAAGCCAGGCTGCAGACCCGGCGGGTGGGGGAAGGGGGCCTGGCCGGCGCCCAGAGCTGGCGAGGCCAGTGGTGTGGGGACCGTGGCCGTGCAGCGAATGCCGAATGAGACGGCGATCAATTACGCGCCAGCCGCAGCCCGAGAGCCCAGTGTCCCCAGACGCCGGGGGAATGAATTGGCAGCTCCGTGAATAATTCATTGGAGGGTGAGTGCGCGGCCCCAGGGGAAGGCCGGGAGGCGCTGTCCTCAGCTCCTGGTCGGCCCGTCCCACCCTCACCTGGAGGCCACTCTCCTCCCGATTGTCCGGCCACCGCCTGGGCTGGGGCAGAAAGGACTGCGGCCCCATGAGCTGGTCTGCAGAGCCCCCCGCAGCCCCACAGGCCCCCCAAATCCTCCCCCCACAGGTTTAGCCGACAGTGGGGGCCGGGGCACAGCCCAGAGTTGGCCAGCCCAGGCCGAGGGCCGGGAAGGGGGACGTGGACTCCCCTGGTACCTGATCTGAGAGGTGGATCCCATCTTGAGGGGCACCCCTGGAGCTCCGGGAGATGAGCTTAAAGTGAGGCGCCCTGGCAGGGAGCACCCAGGTGTCAGGACCCGCAGCCTCCACACCCCCGGACACGGTGATGGGGGCAGACGCCCAGGTCTGCAGGGAGAGTCCGGCCTGGCCCCCTACCGGGCCCGGGCGGATCCGTGGCCCCTGCCTCCGGGTCGTGGGGACGGACGCTCCGGCACAGCCACAGTCAGCCCCCTGAAGGTGTTCCAGTGACAAGCTGGCCCCAGGGCCCGGCCGAGTGGGGCAGAACAGGTGGCGGAGGGGTGGACGCAGGAGGGGGTGTCCCAGCTGGCCTCCCCGTCATAGCCACCTGCCCCGCGGGCCCAGGCCAGCTCCACCAGGGCGGTCGGCACCAGGAGCTCCTCCCACGAGGACACGAGGCCAGGCAGGCCCCCGCCCGCATTGCCCTGGGAGAGAAGAGTCAGGGCCCCTGCCAGGCCCTCCAGCCCAGGGTGCTGCCCTTCCCGACGGTGGGAAGGCAGTGGCTGGGTTTGCGTTTGGGAGGACGCAGAGCGTGTCTCAGGGGGAGGGTTAATTAGCGCCAGAGCGTGTTCCGGACGGAAGTCCATCTGGTTCCTAGTGGGCTTCGGAAAAGGCTGGTCCAGACCGCCCCACTGCCTGCCTACTGGCTGCCCCAGCCCGCCAGGGGGTAGGGGGAGGGGCGGGGGGCGGCCCTTCCTTTCCGAAGGGCGGGGCGTTAGTGGCCGGAGCAGGCATGGGTGCTCCATTCACCCCAGCCCTTTGGGGCACCTCGTGTCCCAGCTCAGTGTGGCGTGGGGTGTAGGGAGGTGATGGATGGCTCAGGGGGCAGGGGAATTCAGAGGCCTGGCCTATGCCAGGAGATCAGCACCCGGAGCAATCATGGAAGTCTTCCTGGAAGAGGCGAGCTTCTAGTTTGTCTTTGAAGGAATGACATGGCAAGGGGAGGGCAGCATGCGGAAAGACACAGCAGGGGTGGCTAGGTGGGTGGAGGCAATGCGGTTAGGGTGCCGGGGAAGGCAGAGCCCAGCCAGGCCTGTTGTCACCAGATACCCTTCTCCTCTGTCCTCTACCCAAGGGGCTCTGCTGGCCCGGAGCTGGCCCTGTGGGCCTGCGGCTTCCCCTGGCCAGGAGCCTGGCGGCTTGGGCTTCCTGAAAGGCACGGACATTCTGGGGAAATGCCCAGAGCACCCCTCACACGTGGCCACACCTGGCCGCCCTGCCCGGGCCCGGCTCTGCCTGCCCCACGGCCCATGTCCACAGACAGAAGTAGAGGGCACCTCCGCGGCCAGCCCTGCATGCTCCGCAAGCCCAGAGCTGGGGCCTCTGGCTCATCCTTCAGGACCCCTGGGAGCAGGAGTGGCCTTGACAGCCATTCTCGGGGTGGGGGGGTCCCCGCCAGTGAAGTCTGGGAACCTCTGTGACCGGGCACCTAGGAGAGCCGGCCCCACCGTCGGGGAGCTCGCCTGGCAGAGGGAGGGTGGCGGAGAAGGGGGCCTTCGGACACCCCTCGGCAGCAGGGCCAGGCCCGCCTGGGGGGCTTCATGGAGACCCTCTCGGTGCAGGTGGAGGATGCCCTGCTGGA